TCACCAGAAAAGAGTCAAGGACCTGTTCTTAGCAGATCAGTACTCCACACTTACACAGATGCATCAAGTCAGGCACAGAGAGTACCTCTGTAAACCTGCACAATGTCTTGAGTTCAGAGACACTTCTTTCGCTTGGATAATGCTTTATTTCTTCCTATTTCTAATCTGTTTTGTATTACAGATTTACTTCGCTGACATTAAAGCAGAACTTGAATCAGAAATATCAAACAAAAATCAGCTTTTTGTTTTGAGACATTCACATGCCACATGTGGCTCAACTATCATCATTCACTATCCCTGATTTACGTAGATGGTCATGTCTAAACATCTGTATGAAAGTTGATATTTGATTCACAAATCGATAAATATTGCAGGTTCAGAAGAAAGTTATATATGTATCTTTAAAAATGAGATTCTCATTGCCTTTTCAAACTCCATAATTTTTGGTTATTTCCACTTAAAAGCGAGAAAATTCTTTTAATTAAGTTTGGAAAATTTTAACTCAACTTGAGAGCAGCAGTGAAACCCTATTACTGTGAAAGACTCACAAAAAATGAAGTTTTTCACATAGCCCACAATCACAGACAAGAATTAAAACTCTTACAGAGAAAATAAGAACAGTTTGCCACCACATATCATGCACCACATCTAGTTCTTGTGCCAAAATAAACAACACAGGCTAGAGAATCCATGAATATTCTGAAATGTAAACACTGAGAACATTCAAGGCTTTTTTTAAACTCAATTCTGCCTGTAATATTCTCCTTCTAATAGTCTTATCGGTGAAATCTAGCTGATAGTGGAAAAAAATGTCAACACCCACTGGATTATGCCTTTGCTTGTGGTTTTAGATTGCATTTTACTGTGATTGCCCAAGATCTAATGCTTATTTTATTGGCTCGGTAATAACTACAGATCTTTTCTGTAAATTCAAAGAAAAAAATGTGTCAATCCTTCAGTTTTGCCTATCTTCCTCCTTCGGATTTATACCCACCTGCTTCCAGTCTCATATCCCCACTTATTTACCTCTAGCACAAAAAAAACAAAATCACTAGAAACAGGTTTAAATGAAGCCAACAAGCAAGAAATGGGCAAGCAGTTACTTCAGTTTGAAATTCTACTTTACAACAAGTCCTACATTTTTTCAGTTGTACACAAGTATCTTAGTACACAATAAGAGCAACACCATGGTACTTTGTGTGCAGGAGAAGAGACAGGCATAGAATGTGAGCATTCATTAAACCACATAGCTCCTAGACCAAGCAACAGTTCTGCTGACTGGCTGCAGATGCAAACAGCCAGCCACTCTGAACATACTTTGGTGGTACATAAAGCAAATTAGCACAGGGAACTAACCTGTAATATTGTTCAGTGGATTGTAGCAAGTATACATTACCAGTGACAAGAAAGAAGACTCCTAAAGAATATATGCTAAAAAACCATCCAAAGCCGGTACAGTAAGCAAAACTGAAGGATTCAGCACCACATCTCCATATACAAAGCTAAATTGGCCAGATAAGGCAAAATGCCATTAACCAGACATGCAAATACCAAATCTGCACAGGACTGAAGAGACAGCTGTAGAATCCATGCCTTTTCCCAAAACACAATAAGAAAAATATTTCTTTCAGTAACACTGAAATAATGGCTCAGTAACTGAATGTCTACCAGAGGGAGAAAGCAACACACCAACAATCAGTCCCAAGGATGTAGTCCTGCCTCCCTGGCATTCAGTGAGTTCCATGTGATCTGCAGTCTTTTGAATGACCCTACCCAAGGCACAGAACATGCCTCACTTCCAACGACTTAAGAAACTGGTGATAATAGACACCAGAGCTTGGAAGCATTAATAAGAATAAAGTGTTTACTCATTTAGTTGATTTATTGATTTTCTAATGCTATTTATCAGATGAAAACAAAAGAAGATGTCCCAGGTGGTGTGCTGCTCATGCTGTACAGAAAATTGGCAAATTCTCTGAGAATGGCAAAACTGAAAACCACCATCTCTGTACACAGAAGGCTCTACTATTGTGATAGATGCAACTTGAAAATCTTTGACACAGTAATTACATGTGATCCTAAAACCTAGAAAAATTTGACAAGTTTCATCATATCTACATACATTTCAAATGTAGTTGGAAAAACATTACCGATTTGCACTTTTTATATTGCAGATGGAAAGGATCCTCTAGATAGTGAGCATACCTGGCTTTAAACATCAATAAAATTAATCACAAAGTTGATGACATCTAAATGATAGTCAATATTTAATCAGCACATTAAGTTCAACAAGGAGATGAGATGAAACAATTTCATTAGTAGAAAAAATTAGAAAATCAGAGAAAATGTTTTACTAAAAATGCAGAGCCTACATGCCTAAATATTTCTCTTCACAGCAAAGGAAGCTAAAAAGCATCACGGTTTTCACAGGAAAAAAAAAATTCAATATGTCAAAAGCTGAATTCCTCTTCTGTTTCGGTTCTACATATTAGTTTCTCAAAAGGTTCTGGAAATGAAAGATACCATCTTCATCAGTGGTTTTGTTTTGAAGCTAAGGCTTGTCCTTTAAAATACAGAAAAATATCTGCAAAGATACTGAAACCAACAGCCATGCATTGGATTTTTAAGTTATCTTCCAGAACACATTCCATCAATATGGTCATTGCTCTTCCCCAGGAAAGAAAGGAAAAGAAAGTGTGGTTATCTTTATTAAAAATCTATATCCTGAATTGGTTCATTCTGAAAATGCAAATTAAGAGGAAACAGCTGCTAAAAGAAAAGGGGGAAAAAAGGGAGGAAAAATTATGTCAAATTTAGTGAAATTTGGGCCCTGTAAATATCAATGATTTGTAGGCATGTGCTGGCATCCACTCAGATCTTCAATACAATGCATGTTTTCCATATGCAAATTACACATACTGCAAATTCCAATCTAAATATTGTATATACTCACCTTTCCTCCTCCTTTCCGTTTTCTAGTTTTAAGTACCACCTTCCCTTGTCATGACAAGTATTTTAGTCAAGATATGCCCACAGGATGCATGCATGTGTACAGACCTATGCACCTAAACAGCATCCAGGGCACAGAGACAAGCCTGTTTTGGCTGCAGATGGTTAAGAAATCAAGGGAAATAACTAACCTTTCACAGGTTTAATTCTGAGTATTTAAAATCTAAAGTTTTCAAAGGAAAATCCTAGCAACCTGGTAACTTCTAGAGGTGCCAGCCAAGAATGTTACAAAATGTGCTGGAGTTTCTCTTTTGCAGTAATTGATCTCAGTCCAACAGCGGACCTCTCTACACCCAGCACATTAATCTACCTTCTAGTCCATCCAGCTGGAGCAGAAAGTTGGATCCATTTAGCTCAGCTAGGTACTATATCTCCCATTTCAGGTAAGTCAGATCCTGGAGCACCCAAGACCAACTCCACAGCTCACAAGACTCCTTGAGTTTTTTGATTGCACGAGACACTAACCATTTCTGCCACCACACCTGGCCCCAGAAAGAAGCTAAGCACAACATCAACAATGATATCAGGCCACAAAACACACAACTGACACTAAATGCTGCATTTGCTGGGCCTGCAGTGGTCCCCACCATGGCTGTTCTTTGCTGGCAGCTGCAATCAGGGAATGTTACAGCATGCACACAAGGCAGTGAAGAAAAGGACACTCAATGGACAAAGACAGAAGGATAAAAGGTATAATTTCTCCTACTGGTCACATTCACTTGCAGCTTTTCCCACCCAAATCAGCTCTCCATGAAGATCCCCTTGCTCCCTTTCCTTCCTGCCTGCCATTTCCCACTCTGCGTCCAGAGTCCAGCAGATGTGACATGTTGGAAACACCCCATTTCTGCCCCTCATACACAGAGGCGGAGAAATCACCAGCTACTGAGTGAAACCTTTCCCCAGCTATCCCAGGTCAATATGTAGGCAGCAAAACTGTATGGCAAAGGAAGGCAAAGGCAAAAAAGGCAAGGAGATGACCTTACAGTTATATAATTTACCCGTTTTTTTTTCTAGATCCATATACCTGAAAAAAATATGCTACAGTATACCACAGACCTAAGCTTGATATAACTCATTTGTATAGCCTTTAAAGTGAGCTCAGGAGAATTTTATTTGCATGAAGAACAGAGCTGTTGCTAATTTGTCTCAAGTAGCATGCAGGTCTGAATTTTCTTCCAATGGTCCTAATACTAGTATTTTTGAGGGAAAAGAAATACTTCATGAACTATAAATACCTGAAAAAAAAATTCAAGTAGGTGAAATTGAGCTATGAATGTCTATTAAGCTTGGAAATAATATTTAGTTCAACAAAGGCACATGCATCCTATATATTACTTGTGTGCTATTTATAATCAGTATTCTGTTTCCCTGCACTTGAATACGCTCTTACATAATCAAGAGAAGAACAAACATATTTACATGAACCAGTGAAGGGCTTAGACACCATATCAGCTGTGGCTGAGGTCACTTGGCCTGGAAGAGATGGAAGGGAGACCTCATTGGGGTCTTCAGCTTCCTCGTGAGGGGAAGATGAGGGGCAGGCACTGATCTCTTCACACGTGTAACCAATGGACTCAAGGAAATGGTATGAAGGTGAGTTGGGGGAGTTTAGGCTGGATATCAGGAGTGTGGTTGGGCACTGCAACAGGCTCCCCATGGAACTGGTTCCAGCACCAACCCTGCCTGAGTTCAAAAGGCATGTGGTCAAAGCTTTTGGGCACATCGTGTTACTCCTGGGGTGTCCTGTGCAGTGCCAGGAGCTGGACTCCATGATCCTGTTGGCTCCCTTCCAACTCAGGATATCCTATTATTTTATGAAGTTCCCAGAACCATTCCATGTGGGGCAAAAGACCACTGAACAGTTAATATCTCCACTGAAAACCTCCTTTGGAGCACTACTGTCATCCTGAAAAGTATTTTGTTAAAAAGCATGTTTGTTTTTCCTGGGCTCATGATTATTTAGGAGTAGTTTTATGTTAAAATAATATTACCGCAGTTCGGGACCTTCATATCCAGCAGGGCTGTCCTCTTATTGTTGTCATCTATGCAATATAAGTCCTGAGTTTCTGTGTAAAACTTGGTCTCTTGAAATTTCTTGATCCACATGATTTCACAGGAACACTTGAATGGATTGTCACCCAATATCCTAGAGGAAAAAACACCAGTTTATTTATAGGGTGAAACATGCCAAGCATATAGAAAAAAAATGAGGGCCAGGCAGGCTCCAAGCATTCATCTGGGCGAAAATACAAGTTAGGAAGGTTAACAAAGGCAAGTTGAACCCTTTCCTTAAGAAGCATAAGACATGCACCTTTGGTAAACTCAGTGCAAAGTAAGCTGCCAAGTGGTAACAGTTTCCATGCAGGGAATTAAGCTCTGCATGCACTGAGAACCCAGAATATCATAGGCAGGAGAGCTCACACAGGGGATTTGGCTACTATTTCCAATTCATCGGTGTAAATCAGGAGCCCGTGGAGACTGGCCACTCAAGAAGCTCCATTTTATTTCATAAATCAGGAAGAGATTAGAATTCATCCCTTCTACACCTGAGCCACCACTCAGTTACTTCAGAAATGGTTTACTGCTGTGGGGTGGTAAATTCTTTATAGAGAGTCAGTCTTGGATTATATGCACACTCTAACAAACTTTAATCACAAAAGAGGATTTTTCCTAATCTTTCAAATTCATCTGCTACAACACTCTAGAAAAACCTCACAGTAAAACCGTAGGTAATATTATGAAGAAACACTAAAAATGAAAAATGAAAAAATGGCCCTGAAACAGAAATTGATATGGTACCCTGTGTAGAATTTAAACCACAGGTTAGCAAACTTAACAAATTCTAGTTTTACAATTTGATAAATATACACAACTAGCAATTAATTACATGCATGTTAAACATGTTCTGTAGGAACAGAAAAATATCTCCATAATCAGTGACCAGCATTATTTTTCCTTCTACGGGCATACATGAGATCAAATAAAGTGGGTGAGGAAGTGTCTGTTTAAGGCATTCCATTATCAGGAGAAAAATCATTCTTAACGAAGTTTCACAGGTATTTTTAATGTACAGAAACTCATGTTTCTTCCAGAATCTATGCTCATAACTGCCTCCTGAAGACATGAAGCGTGCAAATCACGAAAAAAACAATCTTATTAGAGCCATAACCTGTTTCTCCAAAAGCTACCTCAAGTTATTTGAGGAAAAACAACTGCAGGGATCCTCAAAAGTGTCTGAAGGAGCAATCTGTACTCACAGAAGTCATCCACTGGACCAAATCCAGCATGAACAAAAATTGCTTGCACAAGACACAGTATGAATACGATGATTCCTTGGGTCAAAGCCTATGATGTGCATTTTCAAAACAGTGACATTTACTTCCATCTCCTGTTTTATTCTACAGCTTCCTGGTAAAGAGAAATTTCTCTTGACCAATGGCTGAGCAGCCTTTTAGTGTTTTATTTTGTGCTAAACCCATCTAGGGAGTTAGGCACATCATTGGCAGGATGCTGGACCCATAATGACCCCCTACAGACACTCGTGTGAAAAAAAGATTCTGACCTGTGGACAGCAAATTCCAAGTCTTTACCTTGTTTGCAGTAATTTTATGGCTGCAGCTCATTTGTCAAGAAGAAACCTTCCAAGGTGGCATCTCCTTCTCTGTAATACCTGGTGACTCTCCTCTACTACACCTTATTCTAAACTTCTCATCCCTTTAAGTTTTGATTTGCAAGAGTACTAACAAGACAAACATACTTATCTATCATATTTAGGGGAAGTTCTTCAGAAGCTATTTATGGCAACATTAGTATCTCAGATTCACCTACCAACACTCTTCCTTCTCTCCTGTTTCTGATCTTGAACTATGCCTTAAACACTTGTCAACAGAATTATTCAAATATACTGATTTTATCACTGCTTCTCCTCCTTTCAGGCTCTACTGTTATCCCTCCACTTTTTTTCCCTCATTTTCCCCACATCTGTTTATCTCACTTCATCACAACATCTATTTACATAACTTCAGTTTGTCTAGTCCTACACTCCCTTTCCCAAGCCCACAACACTCTACCTCAATTTTGTATCCCCTTTCTCTCTCAACTTGTACATCATCATCACGCATTGCCTCCGTACCTCAAATACTACTCTCTTCAACCTTCACACTATCCATTTTTCCCGTATCTCGCTCACTCCCACTACCTCTGCCCTGCTTCTTCATGCAGAAGCAACAGAACAACAAAGGGCATGGAACAATGGGAGAGCTTTGCAACTAGCTAGTATCCTCATTAGAGAATTCAGCAACTGTCACGTTGAAAAAAATATTCCAGTGAACAGTGTTCCCTGGGCCATAAAGAAATTATACCAACTTAATTACCAACAAAATATACCTAAAGGACATAGTCTTTTTGTGCCACTGAGATTCGCTCATTTCACTTCTCACATGCTGAAGTTCACCAAAAGAGGCCTAGGATTGCATGTCAGGTGCTTCAGACTTGGACTGGCACTTTGGAAAAATTCTGACTCTGCTCTGAGATCCAAAAGAGCAACCTCCCTCTCCTCTGTAGCCCCAGCTCTCTCAGAACTCCTGCAGGCTCTCTGCATATTAACAGAGAATGCACAGCATGACCAAAATTTTGGAACGTATATCAGTAAGAAAATATGGCAGGTGTAACAGGGAATAAAAATATCTGCTATAAAATATTTCTTTTATAAAAATAAAAAATATAGCACTGAAAAAAAATCGATAAAGAAATGTTTACCAGTGCTTTCCTTGCTAAATGATTATATAAAGCACACTCAAGAATTTGAGAAAATAAAGATACTCTTAAATAGCCAGCCACAAGCATATAAGCTGTGTAGCCACTATAAGAATATGAGAGACAATCTTTGTATGAATATATGCAAAAGACTGCATTTTCACAAGTTCAAATATTCAAATAAACACCAGTAGATTTGTGTGAAGTAATCTCACAAAAAAATATATCTTAAAGCTGAAAGATGAGCCTATTTTCACCCCTATGTTGCTTTAAAATAAATACCTAACCTTCTGGAAGCCCTGGAATGAAAATTTCTCTGCATTTAACTGTTCAGATTTGATGCTTTCTTTGGACTAGAACTGCACTTCTAATTCCTGATGGACCTCTGCCTTCAAGAGAACAAACTTCGAAGTGTTATTCTTCCATTCCAGCCAAAAATAAACTTATATTTTAAGAAATGACAACTTACAGATCAGACAAACCCAGATGGCGAAAAGGCTTCTTGGACAAACTTGAGAGCTTGTTTCTGGATAAATTTCTATGGCAAAAGAAAAAATTTGCATTAATTAGAATTGCTTCTTCTTACACTAAAAATACAGTTTGTGTCTCTTGAAAAAGCAATTAAGAAGTAGAACCAGCTGTTAAAGCCCTTTGACTTCAGTGGTAAAAGGGCAGTGTCCAGTCTAACTTTATGATTTGAATGTTTTCAAGGACTTGAATCCAGTCACCATCTAACGCCAAATACATTCAAAATCAAACTCAACAAGGATCAATATTTTCACTTTTAGCACTTTTTCAATTGCAGAAAAGCAGCAGATTTAACTGTGTTTCAAAAGTATTTTGTAAAGTCCAGGTGTTAATTATATGCTCAATTTATTCATGTGAAATGGGTGTATCCCTTTCTTTGATGTTGTACCAAACTCTACTCATATAAGCCCTCCTCACATGCTAGCACACATCCACATCAGAACTCTTTAGTTGTTCTTTGCAAATTGCATGTGCAATATGCACCCACACGGAAGATCAAAAGGAAAACTGTAAAATGCCTGTATTGGGCTTTTTTATGTCAATTAAGCATTTATGGTTTCCAGTGGTAATTAAGTGAAAGGTCTTCTACCATTATGCAGAGCAAAGAAATGTCAATCTGAACCAGAAATACTCCTCCCCTCATGGGCTTACAAAACTGCTTTCTCCACCCCAAAGCAAAAAAATGCTGTTTTTGTATAGTCTTATCAGCCTATGAATTAAAGATAGTGAGAGCAGTAAACTGTTTAACTGCCAGCAGTAAAGCGCAAATCAGTGTTATGAGCCAAAATACCATGAATTTTATGTGGTATTATAAAGGCGCCATAGGGGCTCCAAACTTAGCATTGCATTGAATCTAAAACCAGGGATTAATTTTTTTTTTATTTTTTATCTGACTAAATAACACAGTGTTTACTTCCCAACTTTCAGTCATTGATCTTTGAGTACAAGACAATTTTCACAGAAATTACAAGTTGGATATTGTACAAATGTTTAGAACAGAAACAAAGAGATTATATTTATATTTCACCACTTTTTTGATTCCTTCTGGCAAAGAAGAGCCTGAAGTTTACAAACTAACTGGTCCTTATGTGTGAGAGCGAAACACAGGAGCTACTATTTCATTAGTCAGGTGAACTGCACTGCCCTATGGCAGATGCTGATGGAAATGTCTCATGGACTCTGATCAGATAAATCAATATTAAGGCACAATTTGCATATAGAACAGAAGTTATGTTTAAGCAAATACTGTCACTATGTGGTTTTTTTTCCTAGTATGCATATGCTCTGTGCTGGGAGGCTGAACAAAAGAAGCTGGATCCTCATACTGACTTGGATTTTTGCCTCCAACACAGAACCACATGAAACCCCATCCCTCCATGGGAAACTCTTCACTCACCACACAGGGGAATTGCTTCTTTCCCACACTGACAAGCAGCATGTATGAAGGCCCCTGAGGTACTGCCAGGCAAGGCATGCACCTGCCTCTCTTATCTGCGTTATCAAATAAATCTTACCTTTCCCAAAACACAACCAGATATACAGTAGGCTTTACCTGCAGACCACTGCTATAAATTTATCACCTTAAGTAATACTTTGACAGTAAATTTAATTTTTTATATATATATATATTTAATAAAGTGAGCATTTTTAATTGACTACAGAGATGCCTACTGCAGTTTCCTTAACTCATGTCAAGTGAAAAAGAATCAATGCCAGGTTTATTTTGAAGTAGTTAATGATCCCACTTCCACTTTCATAGAAAGAGAATATAAATTAATTCCCCAATTCAACCACACATAAAAAGACCACAGCAAGCAGCCCAAAGAAAATGCATCTGAGGCTCTAAAGGGTTTTTTGCTTATAGAAAAAGAAAGTCAAGAGTACAGAGCCTGGCCCTGAAGCTAAACTTAAGGAGAAGACACAGATTTAGTCAAAAGTATGCTTGTATTTTCATGAAAAGATCAAGCTCACTTTAAACTTTTTAGCCCTAATTCAGCTAAAAGCAAATCAGTGGCAATATGAGTAGAACAAAAACAGACTGAGAAACCACATAAAGATTTACAGAGCTAGCAACATGGACAGAGTTCTATCACCTATTGTGCTTCTGAAAAGGAGAGGCAAGAAAGAGGAGGAGGGAACAGATCTAAGGAGAACCGGGGAAAGAGATGAAGACATGACCATTTTGCTACACTCAGTCTCCCTCCACAGGCAACAGCTTGCTCTGCCTGTGGCTGGAACTAGCCCTGTGTGCAAACAAGGGGAAATCTGCAGCAGGGCTGATCTCTAATGGTTTCCTTTGGCTGCTTTACCTAAACCTGAACAGTGTAGAGATACAGACACATTTTAATACCTGGAGCTGTATGTATACACTACACTCACAATCTATGATTCAGCGATGCACTTAGACGTAGGCTGGCACGTAACAACAACTATATTTTAAAGTTTTTGTGAATAGGCACTTGCTTTGAAATGTTTTTATATTTAAAGGCACTGACAATACACCAATACACTGTGTATTACACAGGTCCATTAAATTACTGTTAGCAGCAGATAAGCTTATAAACAGCACTACTAAAATGAGGCTGTTGGCTAGCTTGAGTCTATGGGCAGTGTAAACACCAAAATTAGCTGAGCAATGCTATTAATTACACTTTAATAGCATCTATTGGAACATTTATTTTACTGTCATTTATGTTATTACTCAAATCTTCTCATGATAGATAATTTTATAAAGAAACCTTCTAAATTTAGAAATATACCTTTTATATAATGTAGCTCCTTAACGACATTACAAGATTTTTCACAGAACAAAAAAGAAAGTTGTATCATAACAAAATTAATGCTTATATAGTTACATCAAGCTTCAGAAAAATGCTTTTTATTTTCCTTATGGGATAGTAAAAAATTTATTTCCAAATAAAATGTAAGACTTCTTAATAAAATACTTCAAATATAATGTAAGACCTGTACTCATACATTACCCTTGCAAAATTAAATTCCTTTAGCTCTTAATAGTTTTCACTGTCCCAACCACAACAGGAGCTATACTTCCTCCATAGGCAGTCAACAGGATTTCTGTTGCTGATGACAACAAGCCGTGTTTCACTAGGGCTTTCAGAAACATTTTAGTGTACCTAATGACTTGCCAAAGAAAACAAACAAATGCATTTTGCAGGGATAACAGATCAGCCTTAGTAAAAAATACCTCCATACTTGCTGCTTTGTCCTGTGCATCTAGAGCAGCTGGTGCCACTTAATATTTTCCATCTTATCTAGACTTATCCCGTGTCTGCCAACATAACTAAATCCCACCAAAAGAAAACATAGTATGAGACTGGATAAGCTCCTGGTTTATAATACAAGTATTCTGCATCAAGAATTCATCTCTATCAACTGAACAGATGTCAAGTTAGTCTAATTTGTTTCTAACAAGGAGATTCATGAGCTACAGCTCTACTAAAGTCTGCTCACCAGCAAAAACATATTCCCAGTTTGACTGTATGCTCAAATAAAGCTCTTCCTATGGCTGAAACACGTCAAAGCCATCTTATCCAAGTGGATTCTGTAAAGTCTAGCAGTTCACATATGTAGAGTGATACTTTTCCCTTAAGTGGTAACTTTGATAGGGTCTCTCTGTTCTGTTCAACAGACAGTTTTCTAAAAACTTGTTTACCTGTGCAAGTTTTGGTTAGAAGCAAACACTGGAGACAGACAGACTTTGTGACTGCATGAAACCCATTTCCCTAAGGCAACATGCAAAAATGCCTCTCAAGAGCTCATACCAGTTGTCACATCTTACATGGTGTCTACCTGTCCAGACAGCCGAGAAGATCTGAAACTCTATTTATCTTTCTCCAAACTAAACTCATTATTTCTCACACTATATTCACGGTCATGGAGAGAACTGATTGCTTTTTTCATCATAATTACTCTTATTTTAAAGATAAGATGAGCACAGAAGCATAGAATCATAAAATAGTTTGGGTTGGAAAGGACCTTTAAGAGTGATCTAGTTCCAACTCTCCAACATCTTCATCTGCATGAGCTTGCTCAGAGTCCTGTCCAGCCTAACCCTGAATGCTTCCAGGGCTGCGTCATCCACCATGTCTCTGGGCAACCAGAGTGCCTGTTGTCACTCTGTTGTTTACAATCACCCTTATTGTAAAAAACTTCTTCCTTATATCTATCTTTTATTTTCAAATAATTATTCTTTATCCCATTGCAATGATGTATGTACCTTTTCAACTGGCTCTTTATTGCACTGATCATACTCAGGCTCTGAGCCTCCTTATATTATTTGCCTTACAAGCTCCTTATGGCTCCACTGCTCTTCTCTGTAGCATTTTTCAAGATGAGTAGATTAGGTGTCCTAATCTATATACAGTATTCCAGTAGATTCCCTCACAGCAGCTAATGCAATGCGGAAAAGATGTAAAAATGTAACACAATATTCCTTCTGATCCCAGACTTGAATTTGTTTTGTTCTGCTTCATTGCACAGAGAATCTCACTTCTTTCCCAGCAGAGTCACTAAATCTTTCTCTGCAAATATATCCCTCAGACACCATGTTCTTATTGCATATTTCCACAGCCAGTGCACATGCACTTGGCTTTATGGAGTTTCATAGTTTACAGCCATAATTCACTGAGCAACTGTTATAGAGGCAAACACTTCAATTTACTCTGGAACATAGTTCCCCTATATTACCAACTGATTATAGAAGAAGTTCTTTATTAATGACTACATGAAGTAATATAAATTTCACAGGTTCCCAAGATCTGGTTCACACTCCTCTGGTGACTGTTCCATATTAAGGACAGCAATTACAGTCTAGGCAGAAACAGATATTCATGTCCACTTCCGTACAAAAATTAATTGCTGTTCTTTGGAAAACACAGGTCAGAAAGTGATTCCATCTCGTGAAGAAAGCAATCAAATCAAACAGGACCCTGTGTTCTGTTCAACAATTCTTTCCTTTTACAACGAAGTATCTTACAAAGACAAGGTTTGTCATTATGTCTTCTAAATCTCACTAGGATAAAAGCAAAGGGTTTGGTTAAATGCTAATACATATTAGCGTTCACCTATTGAAGATGTATGGACTAAAGCAGACACCTGGAGTATTTGGCTAAAACAGGGCACTTGTGAAGAACTGAACCATTCACAGTGTGATCTCAGTGTTTTATTGACCCATGTAAGTACCAAAGTGAGCCACTCTATGTCTGTCCCACTAGAAGGCACAAAAGTTGTAAAAAAAGAACTTTGATCAGTTCAGCCTTTGATAAATCTAAAGCATAACAAATCGAGAAAAACACAGTCAAAAAGCTGCACAGGTACAAAATCTGCTTCTTGTAGGTCATGACCTACAAATCACATTTGGGTGTGAAAGCAACATCATTCCTATATTCTGCTGTGGGTGCATTAGCTGTGATCTTGAGTGAGCTTTTAAAGTGAATCACCCCTTGGACTTCAGTTCACAGCCATATCACAGTCTCTGGGCACATATACTGATCAAATTATATTAGATGTGCTCCATGCATGCGTCTCCTGCACTGCAGCTGCTTAAATATATTCAGCTCATCGAGTCAGACTAGAGCTAGTCAAAACCATGTCACGGAGTGTGATGCACTGTGTGGACATCATACCTTCAAGAGACACACTCTTTGTGCTACGTTACTTATCACAAAAGACACAGCTGAAGTACACTGTTAGAGACAGGATAATGAACTGGATGGTCTTTTCACACATAATGTTTTTATGATCCACAAGTTCCTTACCATATATATCTTCCTGAAGGGCAATTAATGATAGAAGACCATTATAAGTCTGTCTTGTTAAAATATTTTTTAATGAAGTAAATGGTAAGAGATAGAAATAAATTAACAATAAATAAATGAACATGAGTTGGGCCGTTTTGACTTAGAATGCAGACACTATTCTTACTCACATGTATTGTAAGTTCACATTTTTCACAAAAGCATGACGGGACACGAATCTTAGGCCTGAATCCACCACGGTCCTAGGAAAAGTAATAAAACTATTAGAATGTTTAAACTAAAATATAATGGGAAGTGTAATGATAATACCTATTAAAGTAAGACTTTGGATGAAATCTCTGCAAGGATCAGGTGCAAGATTTACAACTTTGTTCAGTAATACATGAAGTTAGGCATACAGTTTGATAAGGTCTCTACATGCCTCTATAAAAGAAACACAGGAAAAACAGATGTATAAAATGTATCCCATACTCACAGATTTTTAAGTCCAACATAAAATCCAACTTCATTGTCATTGATACTTTCCAAATTTGGCTGGTTCGCAATGTAACTGTTGAAAAAGCAAAACCGAAAGAAGGATGTAAGTGGATGCTTCCATGTCTTTGACTTAGAATACAGTTCAGAAATCATGCACTGATGTATGGAAGTCAGTTTTGTTTGCTGACCTACTGCAATTAGTTCTAAGTCCTAATTAGACCAGCTGCAGAGCAAAAGTGCTCCTTAAAATCTTCTTCATCATTTAAATGGTACTTTGTGGGACAGGGGAGCAGCTTATTTTTACACAGGGGAAATGATGAAAGCAAGTCAACCTGAAGGCCAAATAAAGCTGCATTACAATGTCACCATTCTCCAAGACACGTCCTTACCTCATGGATTTAACAACAACAAAGGGGACAAGTTTAAAGATAGTACTGGAGTTATCACCACTTACAATGAGAGACAATCATATTTCCTAGTCTTTTCCCTCATGTTGTTAACTTAATCACTTCTTACTCTTACTTTTTCCCTGACACAAAGTAATTTCTGTTCTTTTTACAAGGTGTGGCAATAGGAAAATTGAGAAAAGAGAGGTTGTACTTCACAATGTTATACACCCAAGCAGAAATTAAGAGAAGAGAAACTGGTGTATCAGATTAAAGTACTGAATCCACTCATATATCCTTAATATCTGCCTAAAAGGATGTGGGCAATCCAAGTTCTGCAAGAACTGCAAGCCAGTTGTCTGTATTATGACCATGTGTATCTGAACACCCAGGGACATCCCACAGACTGCAAATTAAAATGTTCACAACAAATGTATCATTACTTCTTCTACAGGAAGAAAAAAGTTTCACACTGCAAATCATACAGTCCAGGAAGAAGAAATCAGTGGAAACCGCAATTTTGCTATGGGCAGAAAAGTATGCCTGATTTAAGGGATGGCTTGCTGGAGTCCACACATTTCAACATATAAGCCCAGTCCCAGAAAAATTTAAAGAGAGATTGACATGTGTTTGCACCAAGCATCACAAACTAAACAGATGGGGTTCTCCTAAAATGAATGAGTCTTTCTTTGTTAGAAGAAAACTTTTCTTTATTCTAAGCAGTTTTTAGAATTTATTTATAGGGAATTCTGGTCAGTTAGTAAGAAGGCATATTGCTCTTCCAAAGGCAATCCATGTGCCTGAGCTGGTTGTGTTGAGAAATTCACAGTGTTTCTAAATCCCAACAGAAGCCTGAGATCCCATAAGTTGGGTTGGGCTCTCCTCCAAAGATGCAATGCTGACTTCAGCTATGCTCTCACCATGTACCAGGAAAAGTTTCCCCTAATGGCATCCATTGTCCCTTGGGAAAAAGAAGGGCAGTAAAAAGACAATGCATGATGCTGGATGGAGCACATTACTAAGCATCATATGACAATGACTGCTCTGCAAGACTTTTCAGAGTAAGATTAACACAGGGTACCCACTAGAAGATCGGAGTGCTTTGTTTTTTGTGCTTCCTTTCCTGAATTTTTAAGATAGCCTTCAGTAAGGCTCACCTTACTAATCTCAATACTTACTAACCTATTTTGTTTGGTTGGTTTTTTTGTGTGTTGGCAAGTTTATGTATTTTGCCAACAGTGATGAAGTAGTATATAAAAATCTACCAATTCCTTCATCTAAGATTCCTGCAAGTCAATGAACATACTTCCTCTAAACATGCTCTGAAGAACTCGATCTTGAGTTAAGTATCATCCATCTTTGTCACCTGGACCTCATAATGCTAAACTAAAGTTATGCAAGAGGTTTCAAAGATACCTTCCTCATCCTGTCCTCAGTTATCAAACAAGGGATTGACAAGGAATTCTGTCAAGCTCAAACAGAGATGGGGAAATCACATAAAAGCAGGAATTGAGGAAAATGGACAGTAGAACACACAGTGTCAAGAAACTCAGATTTAAAGAAAGAAACAGAATAACTAGTTGCACTTGCTAAAAATTAGGCAAAAAAACACTGACAAACACGGCCAAAATGCAGAGCCATAACTTAAACACACATATCACCCATCCAAATCTGACACTGCAATTTCAATCACACAAACATTTAACCAGAACCACTCATCACAAGGAAGTCCAGAACCTGTCATAACTTACAGTGTAGCACAAAAATTTGTTAGTGTATTACACCCTGTGTTAAGCCTCAGTGTAAAATGGTTTGCTCTGCTGAAGCCAATGAAGCTTCACAATTTATTTCAGACAAAATTCTTAGCATGAGCACACAATCTATATAAAAAGATTGGTATCAGACCATCAGGGAATAGACAAAACAGATTATATTTGGGAAGTAGTAATATGAGCTTATGGTATCTTCTTTCCTTCCCTTTTTGCATCCCTTAGAAGAAACCCTAGGTGGGGGAGAGCTGGGTATTCTTTAATCTAAGCTGGTACTGGTTTCTCTAAAATGAATGATTTATAATTCCATTTCCTAGCTGAAAGAACAAAAAGAAACCATTGCTTTTTCACAACCATCCTGTTTGGGACTAAGAAGACCTTTTGTCTAAGTGTAACTAACTCAAAAACTACTCTGCAATACACTTATAAAACCACTCTCAGTACAGAGCACAACAGTAAAGCAAAGTTCATGCAGTTGGAAATCTTGAAAAAAGAGTGTACAGACATAATTTACCGTAAGCAGGTCACATCCTCTTACACTTCCTTAATCAGTTAACAGGTCTGTTTCAAGTTAAGCCTTTACAGCTACGTCATAGCCATAAGAAAGAAAAGAGTAGAATGATGTAGTTATACCCTATAAGGGAAAGTTGCTCTTCTGTTTAATTTAGAGTGAGAGCTGAAATAAAACCTCTCCCTAACTGAAGTCTATTTTTACCTTCTTCACAACAACTTTACCTTAATGTTACTTATCATCAAACATTAATACTCTAAAAGCTTTGACTTGCAGTGGGCGATGCTGAGAAAAGTAATTTGCCTGCCTGCCCTTAAGAATATCCACCCTATTCTTTAACAGAACATTTTTACTGTAGCACAAAAGAAAAACATACTGACTCATGGCTGGCTGAAGTCACGTGAAGAGCTTGGAAGCTCACACTGCACACCACAGCAGTGTTGCACTGCCAGAACCTGGCTGGATAGCACCAGACAGACCACTCGTATGAGTTCACAAATACTGGCTGCTGCCTCTAAATCAAGCCCTCAGCTGCCTACAAAGCTATTTGCTTGATTATACTATAGCATTCTGCAGCTCCTTCAGTGAGTAATCAGTAAACAATAATTGCCTTCAGGTCTCTAATTTAATCGGTAAATTACCGATTAATTCTAATAAAGGCATTCAGAATCACACACCTAGATTGCACATTGCAACCTATAATAGCATGTTCATCTTGCCACACTTCTGCAGCTACTGAATAATGTCACACACTCCCACTTCACCACTGCTACAACATTTTGGAAACAATAGTTTAAAATCCTAATCTGTAAGAGTCACCTCCTCCAAGATCTCCTTTGAGAGGGGGGTCTTCACTTACACTCATGACAAAAGTAAAAGGATACAGATTATGTTTAACATCAGTGTAGCAACTTCTGAACTGCAAAAGCATTAAGAAAGTGGGTTCTGATGGCTTTAAAGCCATCTAGATTACTTTATTCCTTAGTTATTTAAAAAAGGGATTCCATGACAACTTTTAAATCTCTTCCTTAACCTGAACATAAAAGGCCAGCAGAAATATACTTTCTTAACTTACTCTATTTCCTCCTGCTTAATGTATGTTAAGGTATACTACTCCATCTGGAGCAATAAGGACATGCAGGAAAAAAAACTAGCACATGCTAGTTTTAACATAGATGCAAGCAAATAACACTGCAGTGCAGCTCCAGAAGTATTTCTGTTGCCAAAAAACTCCCTTTATGGAAAGCATATTTTCTTAACGCTCAGAAAAATAAATCAATTATATGTCTAGCTCTAGTTCATACAGCTGGGAAATAAAGATTTTAAAATTAATAAACACTCACTGGTGAAATGTTTCTGAACTTTGTGAAAATTTTATATTTCAAGCTGTTTTTTCACTAAGTCTTTAGGGGACAAAGGCAGCACACTTCAGACACTGAACTGTCATTAGATGAATTACCATTTAATGACAGGTCACATATGTCCCTAGTCTAGACTACTGTGAAAGCTGTAAGTTAACATTGAGAATTAAACATCGCAAACTTCCCTAGTGCCGTATCTTCTTACAAACTCAAATGTCATACCAAGTTCATCAAAAGGTAGCCTAAACCTTAGAGGCATTTTCAACAAATGTGGGCCGATTCATTGTTATGCATTAAGATCACATAAAATTTGTGAACTTGATACAATACTTGGTGAAACCTGGCATATTCAACTGGGTGACATTTGTAGACCTTCTGAAAACAAGTTTAAAATAATGATGAAGTACTATGAACTCACAGTTGGACAATGAAGAACAGAGCTATACCAGTTGCATATCAGGAATCTAAACTTTCAGACAGATGTAGGGATCAATGCTATAATCTCTGCTCAATCAAGAAATCTTCCTGCAAATGACCAAGCTTGCTCTAGGAAGGAAACTCCTAACAAGCTATGAATGTGATATACACATCTAAACCCAGCAAGTATTCTGCAGATGTACAAGCTTACTCCAATTATTTTATTATATTTTGCTTCCTCCACCTGGTACTGTAAGTGTGAGATTTAACAAGGATAACTTCAGGAATCAGAACCTCTACTGCTAGAGGAGCATGCCATAACTCAGGAAAGATGCAGTGTGTTAAGACCATCCACAGTGGACTTACCCAGCATTCAGAATTTTACCAGTACTTTACTCCTTCCATGGCTGCCTGGTGCCTCATGACAAACTCTGAGCAAGTGCTGGAGTGTTGTTTTTTCTTTTATTTTAAACTGTGAATCACCCCAAATTTCACAAAGAATGAAAAACTGATTGCCACTATCCCAGGTTCCCTAAGGGTTTTTTCCTCACATTTAGAGTATTTAACCACAAGGCACAGAAGACTTCAGGAAATAGCTCTCCCCGTGCCAGTACAGCAGTTCTGGAGAC